TCTGTGGAGATATACCTGTCATGACTGGTGCTCCCCTGTGTGTGTGTGTGTGTGTCTGTGTGTGTCTGTGTGTGTCTGTGTGTGTCTGTGTGTGTGTGTGTGTGTGTGTGTGTGTGTGTGTGTGTGTGTCTGTGTGTGTGTATATGTGTGTGTCTGTGTATGTCTGTGTCTGTGTGTGTCTGTGTGTGTCTGTGTGTGTGTGTGTGTGTGTGTGTGTCTGTGTGTGTGTATATGTGTGTGTGTGTGTGTATGTCTGTGTCTGTGTATATGTGTGTGTCTGTGTATGTCTGTGTCTGTGTGTGTGTGTGTGTGTCTGTGTCTGTGTGTGTCTGTGTGTGTGTATATGTGTGTGTCTGTGTATGTCTGTGTCTGTGTGTGTGTGTGTGTGTCTGTGTCTGTGTGTGTGTGTGTGTGTCTGTGTGTGTGTATATGTGTGTGTCTGTGTATGTCTGTGTCTGTGTGTGTCTGTGTGTGTCTGTGTCTGTGTGTGTGTGTGTGTGTGTGTGTCTGTGTGTGTGTATGTGTGTGTGTGTATGTCTGTGTCTGTGTATATGTGTGTGTCTGTGTATGTCTGTGTCTGTGTGTGTGTGTGTGTGTCTGTGTCTGTGTGTGTCTGTGTGTCTGTGTGTGTGTGTGTATGTGTGTGTCTGTGTGTCTGTGTCTGTGTGTGTGTGTGTGTGTGTCTGTGTCTGTGTGTGTGTGTGTGTGTCTGTGTGTGTGTATATGTGTGTGTCTGTGTATGTCTGTGTCTGTGTGTGTCTGTGTGTGTGTCTGTGTGTGTGTGTGTGTGTGTGTGTGTGTGTCTGTGTGTGTGTGTATATGTGTGTGTGTGTGTATGTCTGTGTCTGTGTATGTGTGTGTGTCTGTGTATGTCTGTGTCTGTGTGTGTGTGTGTGTGTCTGTGTCTGTGTGTGTGTGTGTGTCTGTGTGTGTGTATATGTGTGTGTGTGTGTCTGTGTATGTCTGTGTGTCTGTGTGTGTGTGTGTGTGTCTGTGTCTGTGTGTGTGTGTGTGTGTCTGTGTGTGTGTATATGTGTGTGTGTCTGTGTATGTCTGTGTCTGTGTGTGTGTGTGTGTGTGTCTGTGTTGTGTGTGTGTGTGTGTCTGTGTGTGTTATTGTGTGTCTGTGTATGTCTGTGTCTGTGTGTGCTGTGTGTGTGTGTGTGTCTGTGTGTGTGTGTGTGCTGTGTGTGTGTGTGTGTGTGTGTGTGTCTGTGTGTGTGTGTGTGTCTGTGTGTGTGTGTGTCTGTGTGTGTGTGTGTGTTGTGTGTGTGTGTGTGTGTGTGTGTGTGTCTGTGTGTGTGTGTGTGTGTGTGTGTGTGTGTGTGTGTGTGTGTGTGTGTGTGTCTGTGTGTGTGTGTGTGTGTCTGTGTGTGTGTCTGTGTGTGTGTGTGTGTGTGTGTGTGTGTGTGTCTGTGTGTGTGTCTGTGTGTGTGTCTGTGTGTGTGTGTGTGTCTGTGTGTGTGTGTGTGTGTGTGTGTCTGTGTGTGTGTGTGTGTGTGTGTGTGTGTGTGTCTGTGTGTGTGTGTGTGTCTGTGTGTGTGTGTGTGTGTGTGTGTGTGTGTGTGTGTGTGTGTGTGTGTGTGTGTGTGTGTGTGTAGGTGTGTGTGTGTGTGTGTGTCTGTGTGTGTGTCTGTGTGTGTGTGTGTGTCTGTGTGTGTGTGTGTGTGTGTGTGTGTGTGTGTGTGTGTTTGTTCTAATGTCAGTATTAAACCTGTTTCACTTTCTCTGTTTGTGTAGTTTTGTGGTGGTCAGACTCCTGTCATGAGAAAGTGGAAAACCGTGCTGTACAAACAGGAAGTGATGTATGCAGTGCTGGTCCACAGCCCGGATCATGAGGACAGGTTCAGACAGCGCCCTCTGCTGGAGGATACACCAAACAGCATCTGTGCGTTCAGACAGGAGCCTGAGCCGCACTTCGTCTGGAGACCACAGGCCATGTGTGAGACACACAGGTAAGACACTGTTACTCTGTACTTTCTGTATTTTCTCTCTCTGTCTGTGTCAAACTGCTGTAAAATGTGTTTTGTCTGTTTCTTTCAGGTTGGAGCTGGTGGGCACTGGGGAGGATGTGTCTGTTGAACGTGTTCGTCAGGAGCAGTTTTTCGTGTGGGATAATGTGGCTCTGGCTCTGGTCGTGGATGACAAGGTAAGATCACTGTTCTGTATCTGTGCATGTGTCTGTTTCACTTCCTCATCAAAGTTACAGAGTCTTTGTGAAGTTGTAAAATTTGTTTATGAAAAGCTTCTCTCTTGTTCCTCGTCCCTCCTCATTTGCCTGTGGAACAAAACCTTCATTTGTCTTTACATCACATGTGTCCTCTGCATTTGTCTCTGGGTTAAACCTGCATTTGACCCATCCTCTAGTGTCTCTGGGTTAAACCATGGACTGTTTACAGAAGTGGACTAAGTGAGTGTGACGTCACCACAGCGTTTGGCTCCGTCCAAATGAAGCTCGTGAGGCGATTACAGGAGCGAACTCCAGATGAGGAATGAGATTTTTTATTAAAGGACAAAATGGCCAAACAAAACCACCAGGATCATGTAGAGCAGATTAATACAAACATTTTAAGAGCAAAATAACGAAGCTCACAACAGCAGTTACAGAGAGAAGAGCCACAATATTCTAATGTAAGTCAGCGGGAGCCTATGGAAGCTCATTTCCACCAGAAAAGGCTCACAGAAACTTTAAAAAAGTTTAAAGTTTAAAAGTCATAATTATGACTTTTAAACTTTAAAGAAGAGCCTCATGTGAACTTCTGTTTGGAACACGGCGACTGCGCATTTATATAAACAGTCTGTGTGTTTAACACACACATCCTGCAGATTTACCCTGAGCTCTTCTCTCAAACTGAAAACACTCTGTTCCACCTTGTGATGTCATGTGGTGATACAGGAGTAGATTCACTTTGTTTTTAAACTCCACACACCTTCATCTGGATATTTTCGGTCCTGGAATTGCAGAACTTTCCTAAAGTAAAGGTAAAAGGAGCTGTTCACTTAAACTGCTGACATCACAAGGTGGAACAGAGTGTTTAGAGCAGGAGTGTCAAACATCCGGCCCTCCAAGACCTTTAATCTGGCCCTCGGCTGATTTTCTACTCAAATATTTTAATGATATTTTCTATTAAAATCGTCTCCAGTGTCTCTGTACGTGGCCCCTCCCACCAGAGCAGCACAAATGAAGACTTGTCTCTTTCCAAACGCTCTTAAAGGACGATCGTTTTGACTGTTGACCGTGACCCCCTCATCAGAAAAATGTCCAACATGAGAAAAGTGGAGCCGACTGCAGGATTTTACAACAAGTTAATGTTAAAACATTGTGTTGAAATTGTATTTTTCTTAAAGTTTCAGGTTGTTCATAATATTATAATATTTAGTAAAAGAAAGAGTTCATCAATTAAAAAAGATTTCTGTATTAGATTTGTGTTTCTCTGCACAAATATTTGATCTTGTTGTTATTTTTGGGGTTTATATGTCATGAGTTTTCTGATCCCTTCGGGATCAAAGTCGGTTGGATACGACCCCGGAACAAAATGAGTTTGACTCTCCTGGTTTTTGAGCTCTGGACATGTAAACAAACTGATAATAAAGAAAAACTCAAACATGTGAATGAAACAAAACACAACTGTGAGGGAACAACAACATGGGCTAAAACTCACAAGAGTCACTTTTGGATAATACAGTACAGGACCTTTAAATGAGTTCACACGTTAGACAGACAGACTCGGGCGGTGGTGCGATTCCCTCTGCATCTGGAGTGTTTTGCTCAAGGACAACTTTGTGTTTATGTTTTCCAGGTGCTGCGTTTCGATGACAAGCTGCGGAAGAGCCTGAGATTCTGTGAGAGAAATAAACGACCAATCAACAACAGCATACAATTTCAGAAATATGACAAGGCCAACAGCTGTGTGCAGGACCTGTGGCCAGATTCAGGAGATCTGGAGAGATATAATAAGTCTCGTTTCCATATTCCTACAGGACATTAAATCTATTTTCTAGTGTAACAAACTATATAATTACTTTGCAATTTTATAGCACGCAGCACTTACAAGATAGGCTAATTTGCACATAATAAACTGAACACGTTTTGTATTTTAAAATATTTATTGGAAAACGTATCAGGTGTCACGTGGGCCGGGCGGATGGACACTTCCGTTTATGGCGGCCGCCGGTCTGTGGAGATGTACCTGTCATGACTGGTGCTCCCTCCCTCTTTTCCCTGTGTGTGTGTGTGTGTGTGTGTGTGTGTGTGTCTGTTTAGGTAGAAGTTCCCTTCTTTTTTTTTGTCTAACCGCCTCTGAAAAGTCCTCCTGAATATACACTCCCGGAGCAGTCTTCCTCGATTCTTTTCGATTCTTCCAAACCAGCTGTCTGTCTTTATCATTTGAAAACTTCACTATAATAGATCCAGGGTGAATCTGGTTCTCACTATTGTCCATTTTGTCAACAAAGTCTCAAGTCCTAAAAATAGTGACGCAAATTTGACTCGAGTCCAATAATAATAATAGTAATAAACATAATAATAAACATAAACATATTATTATTATTATTATTATTATTATTATTATTATTATTATTATTATTATTAATTATTAATAATAATAATAATAATAATAATAATAATAATAATAATAATAATAATAATAATAATAATATAATAAATTATTAATTATTATTATTATTATTATTATTATTATATTATTATAATTAATAATAATAATAATAATAATAATAATAAATAATAATGCTTTTATTTATAACGCACTTTACATTTACAAATAAATCTTAAAATGCTACAGAACATTCAAACTTTAAAAACAACAGAAAAAGAACTGAAGAAAAAGTCCCGTGTCTCATTTCTCTGCCTGAAATGTTCCACAGTGTGACTTTAAACAGCTCTACTTCACATTTATTCAGCTACACGTGGATTTAAAGCTCAAAAACACCAAGAAAAACAGGCGGGGCAGAGGAGAGAGGCAAACGCGCCCCCTGGTGTTCAGTTTTGTTTTTCACATCTTGGAGTTAAGTTCCGTTTTTACACCATCGTCACTACAGCACTACATGTACCGAGTCACAGTCTGTTTGACCGCGCCCTAAAGAGACTCAGGTCAGTGTAACCCTCTTTATAAACCTACATGTCATTTTCTGTAATTATTAACTCGTGTTTAATAATGAAATGTCATTTTCTGTAATTATTAACTGTGTTTAATACGTGTTTAATAATGAACAGTGCGCAGTGATGGAGGAGCCAATCACAGTACTGTTATGTTCTGAATACTTCACGCGCCGTTTTCTATTTCTTTAACTAATCCTGTGCAGTTTGAAGCTAAATTGTGCGATCAGGTTCTGCAGTGTTTCCTCCAGGCTCCTCCGTGTTTCTATCAAAGAAAGACAGAAGATATAAACATACAAATAAGAACATGAGACTGTGGCAAAACCAGTTTAAGAGTCAGAAGTTTACCTGCTGTTAAAATGTGGTTGTATCAAACAGAAACACTGCTGTATTTTGTTAATAGGTATAAAATATTATTACTTGAAAAATCCTGGTGGAAGTTTGAGTTGTTTTTGGAGAAGTTGCTGCTTCTACCGTATCCCTATTAGTTTGCGCATGCGCAGTGCGGCACCAGCGCTGGTAAATCAGGATACTGGGTGTTATTTTCATAGATCCATGTGTGTTTCCCAGTTGCGAGGATCCTCGGCTGCAGATCACATTATTATCAGATGCAAACGCAGCAGAATCTCTTAAAGAAGAGGATTGGGAATACAATTATCTGATCATCTGAAAAAGTTTCAGCCTGTGTATTTATTTATTTATTTATTTGGGCTGATCTCAGCCTAAATAATTCATTACCAGGATTCACTCAGCCTTTATTATTCACATGTTTAATGCCTGTGACACAGAAAAACACCTCTGAACACTTCATATTTGTAGAAGTGTTGATGTTTATTAAAACTCAGAGTTTTATGGCGTTTGATTTGGTCATGTGACATGGAGCAGTGACTCCCTCTGGAGCCTGTTCCCGGGGCCCTCCAGGAGCTGAGAGCAGGACACTGGTCTCTGCTTCAGAGGAGCCGAGTCCAGAGCAGTGACACAAAGTCTGTTCTGCTCTTTGGAGGGAGGATCCTGGGACTTGAGAAACACTCACTGTGTGGAAACGCCACAGTTTCCTGGATACTGTCAGAGTTTGTGAGGGGCCCCTCCCTGGGCCCTGGGTAAACTGTGTCTTTACTGGTGCTGGGTCAAATACTCAGTTTTGTTACTTAAGTTATGAAACATTAGGTTTTGTTTCTTATTTTAAGGCCAAAGACAAAGTATTTGTTCTTCAAGACGTATTTTCATATTTAAAGTACAAAAAGTCTCGCTGCACTGATAAATCATTTTACTGATCGAGTGAAATTTACTCAAATCATGATCAAACTTTCTTAATTCAAATGATCTTAACTTGGCTAGATTTGAGTTTTTTCAGTGTTGGGCTGGACCAAAGAGTAATAGTAATAGTAATAGTAATAGTAACAGTAATAGTAATAGTAACAGTAATAGTAATAGTAATAGTAATAATAACAGTAACAGTAACAGTAACAGTAACAGTAATAGTAATAGTAATAGTAACAGTAATAGTAACAGTAACAGTAACAGTAATAGTAACAGTAACAGTAACAGTAATAGTAATAGTAACAGTAACAGTAATAGTAACAGTAACAGTAATAGTAACAGTAACAGTAATAGTAATAGTAATAGTAATAGTAATAGTAATAGTGCTGATGATGTGTTCTGTTGTGAACCAGATCAAAGATCGGAGAGAGTCTCCACCTGCTCCGTAAAACAACACAACACACAAGTCCACGAACATACAGCAGATCTGACACGACCCTGAGCTGAGATGGAGACTTACACAGAAAAGATAGAGATCACAGAAGGAAACAAACACCTGACGTTGCCTGAATTAAAGGAGCCTGAACAAAAACAGCAAAAACCCATAAAATATCTGCAAAAGATTTCACCAGATAATAGATATAAAATCCCAGCCTACCCCAGACCAGAGCTCCACATCACCCACGTGAGCCACAGCACCAAGTGGGAGGGTTTGGACGGTATCAAGACTGACGGAGGATTCAGAGATCCAAAAATGAACAGTAGGGTGAAGGTGGTGTGGTTCAGTCTGACCGTCACTCCTGAAGATCTGAGCGACGCAGAGACCAGGGACCTGACGATAGTGCGTCCAGGAGGAGTCGAAGAGCAGTCTGCACCGATCAGGAGAAGAGCTCAGGAGGAGGCAGGTGGAGCTCAGGGGGAGGCAGGTGGAGCTCAGGAGGAGGCAGGTGGAGCTCAGGGGGAGGCAGGTGGAGCTCAGGGGGAGGCAGGTGGAGCTCAGGGGAGGCAGTGGAGCTCAGGGAGGCAGGGGAGCTCAGGGGAGGCAGGTGGAGCTCAGGGGAGGCAGGGTGGAGCTCAGGGGGAGGCAGGTGGAGCTCAGGGGGAGGCAGGTGGAGCTCAGGGGGAGGCAGGTGGAGCTCAGGGGGAGGCAGGTGGAGCTCAGGAGGAGGCAGGTGGAGCTCAGGGGGAGGCAGGTGGAGCTCAGGGGGAGGCAGGTGGAGCGGTTGGAGCAGGGGTCCTGGTGAGATTTGCCACGTCTCCGGTGTTTTTGTCCAGTTCCAGGTACGGCTCGTATCGTTTCACCTTTGACCTGCGGGACGTCCTGCAGCAGTACAGCGAGCAGGTGAGATCTGTGTGTTCTAATGTCAGAGTTAGACCTGTGTGTCTGTGTGTGTGTGTGTGTGTGTGTGTGTGTGTGTGTGTGTGTGTGTTTGTTCTGATGTCAGTATTAAACCTGTTTCACTTTCTCTGTTTGTGTAGTTTTGTGGTGGTCAGACTCCTGTCATGAGAAAGTGGAAAACCGTGCTGTACTCACAGGAAGTGTTGTATGCAGTGCTGGTCCACAGCCCGGATCATGAGGACCAGAAGGCCTTTGAGGACCAGGAGGTCTTAAAGAACCCTAACCTTAAGAACTGTAAAATCAGAGACGTCCCTCTGCTGGAGGATACACCAAACAGCATCTGTGCGTTCAGACAGGAGCCTGAGCCGCACTTCGTCTGGAGACCACAGGCCATGTGTGAGACACACGAGTAAGACACTGTTACTCTGTACTTTCTGTATTTTCTCTCTCTGTCTGTGTCAAACTGCTGTAAAATGTGTTTTGTCTGTTTCTTTCAGGTTGGAGCTGGTGGGCACTGGGGAGGATGTGTCTGTTGAAGATGGTCATTGTGAGTTTTTCGTGTGGGATCATGTGGCTCTGGCTCTGGTCGTGGGTGAGGAGGTAAGATCACTGTTCTGTATCTGTACATGTGTCTGTTTCACTTCCTCATCAAAGTTACAGAGTTTTTCTAAAGTTGTAAAGTTTGTTTATGAAAAGCTTCTCTCTGGTTCCTCGTCCTTCCTCATTTGCCTGTGGAACAAAACCTTCATTTGTCTTTACATCAAATGTGTCCTCTGCATTTGTCTCTGGGTTAAACCTGCATTTGACCCATCCTCCAGTGTCTCTGGGTTAAACCATGGACTGTTTACAGAAGTGGACTAAGTGAGTGTGACGTCACCACAGCGTTTGGCTCCGTCCAAATGAAGCTCGTGAGGCGATTACAGGAGCGAACTCCAGATGAGGAATGAGATTTTTTTATTAAAGGACAAAATGGCCAAACAAAACCACCAGGATCATGTAGAGCAGATTAATACAAACATTTTAAGAGCAAAATAATGAAGCTCACAACAGCAGTTACAGAGAGAAGAGCCACAATATTCTAATGTAAGTCAGCGGGAGCCTATGGAAGCTCATTTCCACCAGAAAAGGCTCATAGAAACTTTAAAAAAGTTTAAAGTTTAAAAGTCATAATTATGACTTTTAAACTTTAAAGAAGAGCCTCATGTGAACTTCTGTTTGGAACACGGCGACTGCGCGTTAACTCTGTGCATTTATATAAACAGTCTGTGTGTTTAACACACACATCCTGCAGATTTACCCTGAGCTCTTCTCTCAAACTGAAAACACTCTGTTCCACCTTGTGATGTGTCATGTGGTGATACAGGAGTAGATTCACTTTGTTTTTTAAACTCCACACACCTTCATCTGGATATTTTCGGTCCTGGAATTGCAGATCTTTACTAAAGTAAAGGTAAAAGGAGCTGTTCACTTAAACTGCTGACATCACAAGGTGGAACAGAGTGTTTAGAGCAGGAGTGTCAAACATCCGGCCCTCCAAGACCTTTAATCTGGCCCTCGGCTGATTTTCTACTCAAATATTTTAATGATATTTTCTATTAAAATCAGCGTCTCCAGTGTCTCTGTACGTGGCCCCTCCCACCAGAGCAGCACAAATGAAGACTTGTCTCTTTCCAAACGCTCTTAAAGGACGATCGTTTTGACTGTTGACCGTGACACCCTCATCAGAAAAATGTCCAACATGAGAAAAGTGGAGCCGACTGCAGGATTTTACAACAAGTTAATGTTAAAACATCGTGTTGAAATTGTATTTTTCTTAAAGTTTCAGGTTGTTCATAATATTATAATATTTAGTAAAAGAAAGAGTTCATCAATTAAAAAAGATTTCTGTATTAGATTTGTGTTTCTCTGCACAAATATTTGATCTTGTTGTTATTTTTGGGGTTTATATGTCATGAGTTTTCTGATCCCTTTGGGATCAAAGTCGGTTGGATACGACCCCCGGAACAAAATGAGTTTGACTCTCCTGGTTTTGAGCTCTGGACATGTAAACAAACTGATAATAAAGAAAAACTCAAACATGTGAATGAAACAAAACACAACTGTGAGGGAACAACAACATGGGCTAAAACTCACAAGAGTCACTTTTGGATAATACAGTACAGGACCTTTAAATGAGTTCACACGTTAGACAGACAGACTCGGGCGGTGGTGCGATTCCCTCTGCATCTGGAGTGTCTTGCTCAAGGACAACTTTGTGTTTATGTTTTCCAGGTGCTGCGTTTCGATGACGATAAGCTGCGGAAGAGCCTGAGATTCTGTGAGAGAGGTGAACGAAAAATCAACCTCATGATAACATTTGAGTCATACCACTGCGCCAACAGCTGTGTGCAGGACCTGTGGCCAGATTCAGAAGATCTGGAGAGATATAATAAGTCTCGTTTCCATATTCCTACAGGACATTAAATCTATTTTCTGACCTATGTTCAAATGTAGTTTCCTCACAAACAAATCTGGAGTTGTGTTTGTTTCATTCACACGTTTAACACACAAACCCTGCAGATTTAGGCTGAGTTTCCGCTCTCTACTGGACAAAAGGTAAAAGGAGCTGTTAACTTGAAAACGACCACTTCGTGACATCACAAGGTGGAACAGAGCGTTTTGACTTTTGGAGATGTAGACAGACAAACACGTGTGAAGGAAACACAACTCCAGGTCTGTTTTTTGAGGAGGTAACAACATTCCAACATTGTTTATAATTCACAAGAGTCAGTTTTGTGGAATATGGGACCTTTAAATATAATCGATAAACTTTTACTTCTGTCATTCTTCTCTTAATCATGTTGAAAGCGTTAATGCATTTGTTCAAAAGTGAAACCAAAGTAATGCACTCTGTAGTTTGGTGCATTTGGAGTTACAGATTTGTAATGTAATTATTGGTCCTGAAGCTCAGAGAGAGAGGCTCAAAGTTAAGCTCCAACCCTCCTCACTGAACCTGTGACAGGGTCAAACGTTTAGGAGTTATTCTGGATCATGAGTTTAGCTTTGAGCCTCACATCAGGTCCATCACTAAATCTGGTTTTCATCATCCAAAAAATATTGCCAGAGTCAAACCATTTCTCTCTCAAGCCACTGCAGAGACTTTGATACATGTTTTTATTACAATTATAATGCTCTGTAAAGCGTCTTTGTGACATCTGTCTGTGAAAAGTGCCAGATAAATAAAAAAGTTACTGACTTACAAACCGTGTTGATTACTGGGCTCGGTCAAGCAGAAGTAAACAACAAGGCCAAAAATTCAAGTTAATTCATCTGATATAAAAATGTATTGAACAGATACATATGTCTCTAGTTTATGAAACTTGACCTTTTTTCTGTACCATTTTTGGTTCTAAAGTTCCATATGTTTTAAACAGACCATGTATGAAACATGTAACAAAAATTATTTCCCAAATTTCAAAGACCCAAAAATCCTGTAAATAAATGGATGTATTTCATCATATCTTGTGTTATTCCATCTTTGAACTGTTGATGAAGGTACATGATTTTTTTTTTTAATGTATTTAAAATGATAAAAAATTTGCTTGGAAGGACTGACATATTTTATAGAAATAGTTTCCTTTCATTTTGAAATATTATTAAAGCTGCATGACAGTTGGACAAATGCAAAAACTGAACTGTGATTCTAAAAAACTATGACTGTTTTGTTAATTTGCTTAAAATATTTTGGTGATATTAATGTTTCTTACCTTTGCTCGTTTGTTTAATCTACTTTTCTATTATTTACCTTGGTACCTTCTGTTTTTGGTTTAGTCCGTGGGGATAAAGGTGTGTGGTTCAGTCTGTGTGTTATTCATTCATTTGTTTTTCAAAATAAAACCAAAAATAAGAACATGAAAAAACAACTGTTTTCTTCATTATTTGTCTCCAAAATCAAAATGAATAAACATATAACGATGCATTTTTTTACGTTTTGTATTTTGTGTTTAAATGAAAAATGGAAAAAACGGATAACGACCGTTTATGTGACTTAAACTGAGATACAGGACTGAACCAGGACTAAACCGTTTTCAGTCCTGGTCTGGTCCCAGTCTCAGTCCTGGTCTGGTCCTGGTCTGATACCAGACTCACTCCTTGTCTGGTCCAGGTCTAAGTCCTGGTCTCCGTCCCGGTCTGGTTCCGGTCTGATCCCGGACCTGATTCAGTCCTGGTTTAGTCCCGGTTCAGTCTTGGTTTATTCCTGGTGCAGTCCTGGTTCAGTCCTGGTTTAGTCCTGGTTCAGTCCTGGTTCAGTCCTGGTTTAGTCCTGGTTTAGTCCTGGTTCATGTATCCTTGTTGTTTCCCCTGTTAAACCTGGAATAAATTTTGGAAAATGCATGTTTGGATCTGTACATTGAGTTTGTTTTTCTGTACAATGGTCCCTCGTTTATCGTGGGGGTTACCTTCTAAAAATAACCTGCAATAGTCAAAATCCACAAAGTAATCAGCTTTACTTTTTACAGTTATTATGTACAGACGTGTTCAAAATTGTTGGTTTCCTCTGGTAAAGAAAAAAAAATCAACAATGGTCACTGAAATAACTTGAAACTGAGAAAAGCAATAATAAATAAAAAATTCCTGACAAATAACCAATGAAAATCAGACACTGTTTGTGAATTGTTGTTCAACAGAATTATTTAAAAAACAAACTAATGAAACTTTCCTGGACAAAACTGATGGTTCCCCTAGAAACGATTGTAAATACTTGGACAATAGGGACATGTTAAACTTGGGTGTGTCTCTAATCCGCATCACAGGTTCTTCAAACTTGTCCTCAGTCAGTGTGTCTGTTTAAAGAGCGACATGTGTCATTGTTCTGTTTGGAGACATGATGGACACAACACTGAACATGGACCAGAGAAAGAGAAGAAGAGAACTGTGTCAGGAGAATAGAAAGAAATTCACAGACAAGCAGGATAAAGATAAAGACAATAAGACCATCTCCAAGCAGCAGTGACACAGTTCTTCAGAGGTTTAAGGGCCATAGGACTGAAGACAACCTCCCTGGACGCGACTGCAAGAGGAAAACTGATGACAAATTAAAGAATGAAACAAAGAGCCCAGAACAACCTCCAAACAAATTCAATGTGAACTTGAAGGGCAAAGTACATCACTGTCAGATCACACCATCCATCAGTGTTTGAGCCAAAGTGGACTAGTCATTACAGGTGATTTTAATGTACATGTGGATAATGTGTGTGACAAAAATGCCAAAGAGCTTAGTGTTGTCCTTGAAACTTTTGGTCTGACTCAGCATGTCAGTGAGCCCACTCACAACAGAGGACACACTCTGGACCTGCTCATTACAAAGGGTGTAAATATTTCAAATGTCAGTGTGGTTGATGTTGCTCTGTCTGATCATTTCTGTGTCTTCTTTGACCGTCTGTTATTCCCAAACCACCGGCTGCTCCTACAGTTGTTCGAAGGAGACACATAAATGATAACACAGGTGCACTGTTCATGGAAATGATCAATTTTGAAATTGCCTCATGTTCTAATGTTGATGATGTGTTGAACTCTGTGACTTTGAGTGTTTTGAATGTTCTGGATGCCATCGCCCCGATAAAGGTTAAAATGGTTAAAGAGGCAAAAAGCTCCGTGGAGGAAATGATGACTCAGTCAGGGCACAGAAAAGGGAGTGACGGAAGGCTGAGCGGAAATGGCGCAAGTCAAACCTCCAGGTTCATTATGAGATTTACAGAGGAACAATGCATATGTACAACTACACTTTGAGTAAAACAAGAGAGAAGTATTTTTCGGACATTATTGGTAATTGCAGTAACAACTCTCGTGTCCTGTTTGCAACAGTGAACAGATTAACAAACCCTCCAGCTTCACTGCCACAAGAACTAATTTCCACATCTAAATGTAATGAGTTTGCAGTTTTCTTTAATGACAAAGTTCAGGGCATCAAAAATGCCATCAATTCCACAACACAAAATAACAAGCTGCAGCCACAGAGACACTCAGAGCTGAATCACTTTGCACCTGTAACTGACAAAACTGTTTTAGAGATCGTTACCAGTCTGAGTTCATCTACTTGCTGCCTGGACATGTTACCCACTAGATTTCTAAAGTCTGTCCTCAACAGTTTACTTTCACCACTCACTCACATAGTTAACATGTCACTTCAATCTGGAACATTCCCAAATGCGTTGAAAACTGCGGTCATTAAGCCTCTCCTAAAGAAGAGCAGTCTTGATGCCACAGTACTGAACAATTTCCGACCCATCTCAAATCTGCCGTTTTTTGGCAAAATCCTTGAAAAAAAAGCTGTTTACCAACAGCTTACGAACTTTCTCCAAATGAACAACTCCTTTGATGTTTTCCAGTCAGGTTTTAGAGCCTCCACAGCACTGAGACTGCTCTTATCAAGGTGACAAATGACATCCGCCTGAACACTGATGCAGGCAAAGTCTCAGTCTTGATCCTGTTAGATCTGAGTGCTGCTTTTGACACTGTCGATCATGGGATCCTCTTACAGAGACTAGAGGACTGGGTGGGCATCTCTGGTACTGTACTAAACTGGTTCAAGTCCTATCTAGAAGACAGGAAGTATTTTGTTGAAATTGGAAACTGTGTCTCAGATGACATGGCCCTGACCTGTGGGGTGCCTCAGGGGTCAATCCTGGGCCCCCTGTTGTTCAATCTCTACATGCTGCCATTAGGCCAGTTAATAAGCAGCAATAACGTGTCGTACCACAATTATGCAGACGACACTCAGATCTACGTCTCTCTGGCAGCAGGAGACTATGGACCAGTGGAGTCACTCTGTCACTGCATCCAACAGATCAGTGTGTGGATGCAAAACAACTTTCTCCAGCTAAACTCTGACAAGACTGAAGTCATAGTGTTTGGTCCACAGAAACAAAGGGACAGTGTCAGCAGTCACCTCCAGTCTCTCTCTCTAAAACCTTCAAATCAGGCAAGAAATCTAGGGGTAATAATGGACTCAGACTTGAACTTTAACAGCCACATCAAATCAATAACATCTGCAGCCTTTTACCATCTAAAAAACATAGCAAAAATCAGAGGTTTACTGTCTAAATCAGACTTGGAGAAACTTATCCATGCATTTGTCTCCAGTAGGTTAGACTACTGTAATGGTCTGCTCACTGGTCTCTCCAAACGAGCTGTGAGACGCTGCAGAACATCCAGAACGCTGCAGCTCGGGTCCTTACTCGAACTAGGAAGTACGAGCTCATAAGTCCTGTGCTCAGGTCTCTGCACTGGCTCCTGTGCCTCAGAGAATAGACTTTAAAACAGCTCTGCTTGTACAAGTGTCTCCATGGCCGAGCACCAAAGTCCATCTGTGTGACATGTTATGAACCATCTCGCACTCTGAGGACCTCAGGGACCGACCTCCTGCTGGTGCCCAGAGTCAGAACTAAACAAGGGGAGTCAGCGTTTCAGGTTCATGCAGCTAAAACCTGGAACAGTCTGAACATGTGAGACAGACTCTTCTGTGACGCTGTTTAAATCCAGGCTCAAAACATTTCTGTTTAACTGTGCATATAACTGAAAGGTTTTCATTCCGCACTCTTCTCTCCAATTTATGTCTCTCTTTTTTAATTTTTAATTTTAATCTTCATGATTATTTATGTTTTGATTTGTTTTTATTATGATTTTAATGTATTTCTTATTCTGTAAAGCACTTTGAATTACTTTGTGTACGAATTGTGCTATACAAATAAACTTGCCTTGCCTTGCCTTGCCTTCATGTGAGGACACCACTGCTGAGAGAAAATCATAAAATGTGAGACTAGAATTTGTCACAATGAATGTTGACAAACCACACAGCTTCTGGGAGAATGTTCTTTGGACAGATGAGCCAAAACTGGAGCTCTTTGGCAAGACACATCAGCTCTATGTTCACAGACGCAAAAATGAAGCAGACCAAGAAAAGAACACTGTCCCTACTGTGAAGCACGGAGGAGGTTTGGTTTGTTCTGGGGCTGTTTTGCTGCATCTGGCTCAGGGCGTCTTGAATCTGTGCAAGATACAACGAAATGTCAAAACTGTCAAGGTATTTTGAAACGAAATGTGTTGCCTGATGTCAGAAACTTTGGTCTCAGTCGTAGGTCATGGGTCTTCCAACAGGATAATGAACCAAAAACACAGCAGCAGAATGACTAAGAACGGAACATTGGACTCTGGAGTGTTCTTCTGTTCTGGAGCGTTCTTCTGTTCTGGAGCGTTCTTCTGTTCTGGAGCGTTCTTCTGTTCTGGAGCGTTCTTCTGTTTCTGGAGTGTTCTTCTGTTTCTGGAGTGTTCTTCTGTTTCTGGAGTGTTCTTCTGTTTCTGGAGCGTTCTTCTGTTCTGGAGTGTTCTTCTGTTTCTGGAGTGTTCTTCTGTTTCTGGAGTGTTCTTCTGTTTCTGGAGTGTTCTTCTGTTTCTGGAGTGTTCTTCTGTTTCTGGAGTGTTCTTCTGTTCTGGAGTGTTCTTCTGTTTCTAGAGTGTTCTTCTGTTCTGGAGTGTTCTTCTGTTTCTAGAGTGTTCTTCTGTTTCTGGAGTGTTCTTCTGTTCTGGAGCGTTCTTCTGTTTCTGGAGTGTTCTTCTGTTTCTAGAGTGTTCTTCTGTTTCTGGAGTGTTCTTCTGTTCTGGAGCGTTCTTCTGTTTCTGGAGTGTTCTTCTGTTCTGGAGCGTTCTTCTGTTCTGGAGTGTTCTTCTGTTCTGGAGCGTTCTTCTGTTTCTGGAGCGTTCTTCTGTTTCTGGGGTGTTCTTCTGTTCTGGAGTGTTCTTCTGTTTCTGGAGTGTTCTTCTGTTTCTGGAGCGTTCTTCTGTTCTGGAGTGTTCTTCTGTTTCTGGAGTGTTCTTGTTTCTGGAGTGTTCTTCTGTTTCTGGAGTGTTCTTCTGTTTCTGGAGTGTTCTTCTGTTTCTGGGGTGTTCTTCTGTTCTGGAGCGTTCTTCTGTTCTGGAGTGTTCTTCTGTTTCTAGAGTGTTCTTCTGTTCTGGAGTGTTCTTCTGTTTCTAGAGTGTTCTTCTGTTTCTGGAGTGTTCTTCTGTTCTGGAGCGTTCTTCTGTTTCTGGAGTGTTCTTCTGTTTCTAGAGTGTTCTTCTGTTTCTGGAGTGTTCTTCTGTTCTGGAGCGTTCTTCTGTTTCTGGAGTGTTCTTCTGTTTCTGGAGTGTTCTTCTGTTCTCTGGAGTGTTCTTCTGTTTCTGGAGCGTTCTTCTGTTTCTGGAGTGTTCTTCTGTTCTGGAGTGTTCTTCTGTTCTGGAGTTCTGTTCTGTGTTCTGGAGTGTTCTTCTGTTTCTAGAGTGTTCTTCTGTTTCTGGAGCGTTCTTCTGTTCTGGAGTGTTCTTCTTTTCTGGAGCGTTCTTCTGTTTCTGGAGCGTTCTTCTGTTTCTGGGGTGTTCTTCTGTTCTGGAGCGTTCTTCTGTTCTGGAGTGTTCTTCTGTTCTGGAGTGTTCTTCTGTTTCTAGAGTGTTCTTCTGTTTCTGGAGTGTTCTTCTGTTCTGGAGCGTTCTTCTGTTTCTGGAGTGTTCTTCTGTTTCTGGAGTGTTCTTCTGTTCTGGAGCGTTCTTCTGTTTCTGGAGTGTTCTTCTGTTCTGGAGTGTTCTTTCTGTTTCTGAGTGTTCTTCTGTTCTGAGTGTTCTTCTGTTTCTGGAGCGTTCTTCTGTTCTGGAGTGTTCTTCTTTTCTGGAGCGTTCTTCTGTTTCTGGAGCGTTCTTCTGTTTCTGGGGTGTTCTTCTGTTCTGGAGCGTTCTTCTGTTCTGGAGTGTTCTTCTGTTCTGGAGTGTTCTTCTGT